GGATTGCTGCTGGGGGTACCCCAGGCAGGCCAGGGTCCCACAGTGTCCCCTGGCTACCTCCTTACCTTTATGTGCGTCTGGTTCCTCCGCGTTGAGAATGAGTAGACATATTTGAAAATGTAGAAGCCATGCTTGGCATTGCAGCTTTTCAGAAATATCTGGTAGGGAAGAAAATAACCAAAACCCACAATTTTCTTATTAATTGCATTGGCAGGAGTTTCCCTTTCTGCATCTGGCACTGCAGTAGAGTCCCACCAGTACCCACTGAGGCCCCAGGAGGTGGCAGAAGGATACATACCCGGTGTTGTCCCACACAGTTCCCAGCAGCTCTCTCAGGCAGCGGCAGTGGCACCTGTGGGCAGCAAAACACAGGGAAGAGCTGAGGCATCAAACACTGCCTCAGCACGCAGGCAGTGCCAACTGCTGACCACCCACCCTTTCCACCTTCAGGGAAGGGTGGGAAAACTGCATTGATTAGCCACCAAATTCCCAGGCACCAGCTGGGGTGCTGGCTTAGAGACAGCAGTAGTAGGAAAGTTCAAAATCCCATTTCCAGGATCAGAAAATTATTGTGAATTTTGCTCCAGCATGATTGTATTGCACGCTAGCTTTCATATGGTGTTGTTGATAAATAACAAATAACCTTTTCCTGGAGACTGCTGCAGAGGATTTTACCACAGAGCATTTTTAATACACAGCATCATTACTCACAAAAGAATGCTCCAGCTTACTGCTTGGATCTGCCTGTGATGAGTCTGGAGCTGGTTAACTGGTGGAGTTTCCAGTGTTTACTAAGCTACTGAGCAGCAACCTGTGTGTCCTCACAGCTGAGTTTCTCTATATGCTTGCAGGTTTCCAGCTCTCCCTGATTATCCTGGCATCTTTTGGTGGGTATTGGCTAGTGCATCCCTCAGAGTTGGGGAACTTACTAGTGGAAGCACCCTGTGAGCCCCACAAAGCCATTTCAGGCATCCCTTACATGCCAGAGTGAGAGACAGCCCCATGGAAGAGAGTCCTCTTTGATTTCAGAAAAATTAGTCCCTGAAACATCCCAAGCCCAACTGAAGGGGCAGAAACACACCCCAAAGTATTGAATATCCCCAGATTGTTTCATTGTTTGTGAACAGTGTGAAAGGACAGATTACAGCTCTGGTCACACAGAGCATTAACTCCCATTTTTCCTCTATCTGAAAAGCAAATCTGTGCTGATTTATTGCCTTCCCCTGGGCTGCTCTGCTACGGACTAGGGTTTAAGAGCTTGCTCTATGGGGTAAGAGACACATGGGAGGGGCCATCTCAGGGAAGATGGGATTTCCCTCCTCCTTACCCTGACAAAAAAGCAAGCCTTTTCTAGGAGCGGACTTTCACTCTAGCTGTGGATTTAGTAAGCTGAACAGCAGTTATGCAAGACAGAAATGGCTCCTATTATATTAATCTTAACTTGCCCTGGTTTTAGTTAAATCTCTCAATATTTCAAATTAGGAGAGCTGGAAAATAATTGCGGGTGCCCCTCTGACCACTGTTCCCCACACAGGTAAGATGAGCATCCTTCCCACACCTCCCTGCCTGTGACTTCATTCAGGCTGTTTGCAGGCCAGAAGCACCAGGCAGATCCCAGACCTACAGAAATCCAGGAGGTACAGCCACCCAGATGGACACTTGTGCAGTGCCCTGATTGCTAAGCTGAAGGAACATGCTATGCCACCCCAGTGCTAATATATATTTTGAGGTGGTGTACACAACTACAACCTATGTTTTCCCACTGCTGAAAGCAAGCCAGGATGCACTGGATAGCACATCTCACGCTTCCAGCAGGAACCCAGGAAAAGCCATACTCACAGGTGTGGCGAGGGCTGTGCTGAGCAGGCACAGGCACAGACAGGCAAGGGAAGTTTGCATCTTGGGCTGCTCCTGGAGGTACGAAGTGAAGCATAGCTGCAGTTAGTATTCCTGGGACTTGTGGTCCTCAATAATCCTGGTTAGCAGCAACCTAAAAGCTCCTGCTATCCCAAAGCTCCCATGGCAGCAGGGTTTTGCAGCGACCCTGGTTTTTCCCAGGCTTTGTGGTGGCCCTTGGCATTGTCCTGCCTCTTTGCATCCCTCACAACAAGGGCAATGCTCTCACCATGTGCTTAGGGCACAGCCAGCAGCTCCAAGTGGGAGCTCTGACACTGGCTATTAAAACTGCCTAACTTCCTCTGTCAAGACAGCTTGGGTGGATATTTGTAATAAATGATCCCCTAAAGTTGCTGCAAGTTAAGCTGTTCATAAATCCCAATTAAGAAAGCAGCAGGCTTTAGGCTTTCACAGCACTGATAAATGGCAGCAGGCAATATCTCCATTGGCCAATTCTCATTTCACCCAACCACCCTTGCCTGGGCTTGCAGGTCCATCCCAGAGACTGAAGCCATACCAGTATTGCTACAGGAAACACCAGAAGGAAATACATGCACAAAGATCAGCAGTACAAAAGCAATGTAAGCTCAAGAGATGTGCACAGCCAAGGATCAGGGTGTCCCCATCCCCACTGTGGCTTGCCCAGAGTGAAAGCAGAAGAGTCCCTGCTCAGGGACAGCAGAGCTGAAGGGCTAGGGAGAGACAGGGCAGGAAGCTAGGTGAGAAGATTACCTTTTCCTGTCGGAGGCAGGTCCCACAGGCAGACTGTGGAGCCTGTGCCCACTTTGCTGAAATTTAAAGTTGGCCCCGGGTGCACAGAGCCAATCAGCTCCTGCTCAGGGACATTTGTCAGCTCTGGCAGCACTCACAGATAACCAGGGGGAGTAATTTCCAGCTAAAAATGTGTTTGTGGTAAAAGACAGCTATCAAATGTTCCACCTGGCTGGATAAACAGAAAGCACAGTTTATAAATATCTGTTCTGAAGGCAAAATTGCTCAATGATTAGTGCAGATCTTAGTGTGGCACACATCCAGCTTGGTTATTGATAAGAGGGTGTGCAGTGGGTCTTGGCTTGCTCACTGTGACCAACATGGGAAAGCTGGCAGGGCTGCAGGAATGGAAGGGCAAGATCCAGAGCCAGGCCTGGTCCTGGCCCTTTGGCACAGAAGGGCAGTGTTGGCCAAACTGAGAGCCTCACCATGCTGTGTCTTCTGACACTTGCTTTTTGGGTTTCAGCCTCAACCGCTCTGAGTTAAACCTGTGCAAGCGCAAAAGAGAAGAAATATGTATGGCAAAAAAGAAAAAAATATGTATGTTTTTCCCTGCACTGCTTGCACAGGCCCCTTTGAGCCCTACTTCATTACAAAGAAGTGCTACAAGGGTGTGGACCATGTACAAACCCTCCTTCTCTCCATCTATACTTTGGGTGGCATTCCTGGTCACCTACATCCTTGCCAAGAAAGGCTCCCACTGCTGCAGCCAGCCTGGCTCAGACAGTCACTGTGGAGGTGGTGGCAGCAGCTCCCATCCCACTCTCCATTCTGCCCCAACCCAAACCCTGGGAGCTGGCATAACGCCCACGTTATCACCAGAAATGCTTAAACCATCAGCATCCAGCCTCAAGCAGGAACAAATCCTGGAGCCAGCGGGAAACTGGCCCTAGGCACTGGCCAGGGAGTGGCAGTCGGATGCCACCCCACAGGGCAGCCAGCCCACGTGCTTTGGCTCCTGGAGGAGAGCCTTTGCCAGGTGCCTGGGGGGCTGACGCACACAGGGCTGGGCTAAGCGCCCTGTAGGAGCAGGACCTGGCCCCTGGCAGTGCCAGGGCTCTTTGTCTGTGCCAGTTTCCTGACGCAGCGGAGCACCCCCCGGGGATGTGGATGATGGAGCTCTCGTGTCCCCGCACCAGCCATGAGTGCACGCAGGGCTCCTCAGTGCCACCATAGGGATTTGTCCCCAGGGGTGCCCATGCTGCAGGCAGCACCTACTGCCTCCCCAGAAGCTGCAGCCTGGCTTTGGCATACAGAAGCAGTTTTGTACAATGGCCAGTGACTTGCTGCTGCAGGAACAGACTAGTTCTGCAGTTGGACCTGCATCAGAAGCTGAACTCAGCTTTCCTTCCTAGGAGTGCAAGAGAAGCACGGTACCTGCCATAAACTGTGAATGAGGGCCATCACTATTCCCAGATGGTGGCATCTGCCTGGAACCCAGTGGGATTTGTTCTATCCCTATCCATAGTGCAGATCACCAGTTGGCCAGGGACATACTCCTGTTGGGAAGGGACCCTGAGCTGAGGACTCCCAGCTAGGTATCGCCATCGCTGATGAAGGAGGGGAGTGGATGCACCACTGTCACTGTGACAGCCCTGGGAATGAGGCTGTGTGACAGGGACATTTTGGGCTGCAGTACTGGTGTTCAAGACACACATCCAAGTTGCCCAGCCTCATACCCATATGCCTGATGCAGGGACAAAGCAAAGCCCTCATTACAGGGGTGTGCGTCTACAGCTAATGATGGACAGAAAGAGAAATTAGTGGTTTTGCCCTTATTAAAATTGCCTGATGTGTGGTCAGGCCATGGGAGGCACATTACCAAGGAATAGAAGACGTGATAAAGTTATCACTGCTCACGTATTGGAAATTCACATCAACTTTACGTAAAACAAGGCTGTAATCCCACCCTAGTGTCCCTAAGAGCACCCTTTCATTTTTCAGAGGGCACTCTACAGCAGCTTTCCAAGTTATCCTTGCTATTCCTCCCTCCTTTCATGTGCATCTGAGCTGGAATAACAAGATTCAGCCCTAAGCATCATGCAGCCCCTCAGCCCCTCCCCAAGCGCTGCGCTCTTCCACTGATCACAGAAAATTTGGCAGCAAACCTTTTGTCACCAACAAGCTCAGTTCAGTTGCTTTATTTCATTTCATTTCATTTCATTTCATTTCACTTTGCAAGATACAAAAAAAAAGCCTGGGATGGAGCCAGGGATGCAGCCTGTGCATGACAAGCTGCCTGGCATCCCCTCTGGCATGTGGTGGCTCCAGGGAGCCTTGGAATGCACCTTCCTGAGTGGCTGGGGCTGACAGGGACAGCACCAGGGCTGTGTTCACTGGCTGTAGTAGTAATCCTGGCCGTACACGTCGTACCCGTGCCCTTTGTAGTAGCCGTACTCATCCTCATAGGCGCGGTAGCTGTCCCCACGTGCGTACTCATCCTGTTCCTCGTACCCACCCTCAGTGGTGCCCTCGTCCCCCCGGCCGTGGTCCCTGGCTGTCACATCATACTCCCACAGCTCCCCAGCTGTGGTGGCATCTGTGGTGACATCTGTGGGTCCCACATCATCCATAGTGGTCGCCTGTATCAGACCCTCTTCGTTGGTGGTGCTTGCAATGGTGGTAGCTTCAGCTTCTTCCTCCTCCTCTTCTTCCTCTTCTTCTTCCTCCTCCTCTTCCTCCTCTTCCTCAGCTTCACCAGTGCCCTCCTCAGCCACCGCAGTGCCATTGCCATGAGGTCCAATACTCTCTGTGGTATTGGTGCTTGTGCCATTGACACCGTTCTCATTCTCATCTACTTCTTCTTCCTCCTCTTCCTCCTCATTCTCATCACTGTCTTCATTTTCAGAGTCTTCCCCCTTGCTGGCAGTTCTCTGCCTGATCCTTTGGCAGTCCTTGCCCTGGCAGAGGGAAGACAGCACAGCATAACTTGGATGTCAGGAGCTTGCACCTCCATGTGGAAAGGGGAAGGTATGGGCGCAGCTGAGCATTCCCCCACACCTTTCATGGCAGGGCTGTCTTTTTGGGGTACCCTTTCCAACCCCAAGTTAATGTCCAGAGCTTTGTCCAGTTATAGGTATTTCCACAGCAACCCCCCAAGCAGAAACAGGGTGCAGGGTATCCCATGGGTACAAGCAAACATGCAATGAACATCCCCCTCCCCGTGGGTGCTCCCTCTATCTCCCCAAACCGCACCTGCTGGGGGGATGGGATGTCTCCTCCCAGTGCAGCTTGACAGTCCTCAGGGGCTGCTCCAGCAGGGTGTCCAGCTGCCTTGGTTCCAGCATAAAATGGCCCCTGCAAGGACAGGGACAGGACAGGGCAGGGGTTCAGCAGCTGGAGTGGAGCGCAGGCCCCTCCGCAGCGAGGAGGATACAGTGCATCCACACAGAGCGTTTGGGCATCGCTCCGAGTTCCCTGCTTTCTCATGGCTCTTGTTCCAGGCTGAAATGTAGAGGCTGCAGCAGGGCAGATGGAGCTGTGCAATTACGCGGTGGTGGCTGGAGTCTGATGTTCCCATTCTGGCTCCAAGTTTTGCTTTGCAAAGCATCTAAAGGTTTTCTTCTGAAGTTACCTCCTCAGTTTCCAGTAAACAAAGAAAGCCACAGGCACACTACACGCGAACACACTGCATGCCATGTGTGGATGGTCAGTGAGAGTGTGATGGCTCAAAGCCAGGTGTGAGCCCAAACCCACCAGCAATCAGCCACCAGCAACACTCGGCCCCAGAGATCAGCAGCAGAGCGGGGCTCTCAGTGGGGTGCACGGCTGAAAAAAGGGTAAGGAATAACCCAAATGCAAACAGAGCCTAAGCAGACACTGAGGAACTGGTAGGGCAATTCACTCAGGGCCCAGCCTGGGAGGTGGAGCTGGTTGGCACCAGCACATGGGCCCAGCCATGGCAGGGAGACCTGAGGTCAGTGTCATCGCTGCCCTGGGCAATCTCTGCTGCTCACACGCCAAGACCAAGGACACCTACCCTGGCATTTTGGGCCATGTCAGACCTTGAAATACAGGTGCAGGTGCTGGCAGAGAAAATCCAGGCTGCTCTCCTCTCCAGCAGGAGAGCCATCAAATTGCACAGTGCAGCCAGCTGTGCCAGTGGAAGTGATGCTCCCTATATAGCAGCTTTTTGCAAACCGATATGCTTTATAATGCTTTTTACATAATTGACCTTGGGGCCTATCAGCATGATTCATCTTGCTGACCACCCTGCCAGTGAAGGCACATCCTTGCATGAGAGCAGCCACTGCTCTGGTGCCCTCAAAATGAAAAGGGCAGACCTAAAGAGCAGCCACATTCCTGCATACCAGTTACTTTCTTCCTGAGAAATGAAATTCCACCTTTTGCTGCCCATCCTACTGCTCAAATTTATCCTTAGAGATTGCAGTGGTAGGGGAGAGAAACAGCTAAAGTGGGGCAAATTGCAGGGAGGCGCCAGAGCTGGCACAGGGGCCACCCCATGCTATATCCCAAGCCCTGACAGGCCTCCAAGGCAGGGTTTAAAACCAGACTCCCTGCTTTCATTAAATAATTTTTTTAAAAAGGAAAAAATAAAAGACTTGATTAAGCATGACACACAGGATTCTAAGCATACCAGGTCCTTATTTCAAAGCACCTATGTGCCTGAGACCACTGAACTATTTTTGAGCATTTGCAACCCAATAAGGCACAAAAGATCTTTGTAATCCCTTACATTTAATTTTGGACCTGGGTTGCTCTCACAGCTCCAGAGGTGTCCAAGCTCACACTGATCCAGCAGACAGGAGCAGCTTTACCATCTGACTGATACAAATTTGACTTTCCCAATACAGCATCAGTTTGTGTCACTCCACAGACACACATGCAGAGCATAACTGGGTTTTCCATAGGGGTATTCTCAGTGTTACAGGGGTAACAGATCCTGAAGGACAAAGGTAAGAGGAGTTCCTAAGAGCACCCTCTTCCTTGTGTGAACCTCCCTGATTCTGTCCTTTGGCCTATCCTGCTCCTTTCTGATCCACTGGAAATGGAAACCCAGAGAATTTGTCTCAGGGTTGTTTGGTGCAACCCCTGCTCAGGAAGAAAAAGGAAAGCAAAAGGAAAATATCGACAAAAAAAGTAAAATAAGGTCCAGAGTAGAAAATCCAGTTGTATCCAGAGTGCAAGCCTGTGGGAAGTCAGTGACCACAAATGCTGATGAGCAGAGACTACAAAACCAAAGAAAGTTCCCAAATTCCCGTATTTGTTTTGCAGACTGCTGGTTTGCCATACTCACCCCCTCTTCCTCCTCCTCCGAGCCATCCCCCTCTTCCTCAGATGAGTCACTACCCTAAGAGGAAAAACCAAGTTGGAGGCCGGTGGGTGGGTTCCCAGTGGTGTCACAAGTACAATGTTCTGTGCCCAGGCCCGTAGACCATGCCAACAGGGCACAGACCATGCCCCCATCTCATTTGGGCCAAAATCTCTGCATTTGGAGGGCAGCAAAGCAGCAGCAACCCCTCGGAACCACCCACCTGGTACCGTCGCTGTGAGGGATACACGTAGATGTATCTGTACAGGTAATGCCGGTGCCGGCTCTTGAAAACCTACCAGGAGAAGGAGGGGCAAAATCCCATCAGTCTGGGGCCTTGGGTACAGGAGCCACCAAAATGTGCTCTTCCTCAAGATCAGCCCTGTGTGGGACTAGGCACAGGGGAGACCCTACCGCATTCTCTTCTGAGTCATCCAGCTTGGGTTGCCGCAGCCAGTTCTTGACCTGGGGGAAAGGGTGAGTTGGTACGTGCCCCACACCAGCCCTGGCAAGGCCAGGGGTCCCCTCTCAGCTGGCACTCACCGAGAAGGTGCACGCCATTCCCACCAGGCAGACAAACACCAGGACACTCCTCATGGCTGCTGTCTCTAGGAACACTGAAACACATTGAGGGCTTGCTTTTCAGCTAGAAAGCACCAACACCACTCCAAACCATCCACGTGTCTGTGTCCACATGGGTGACTTGGGAGAAAAAAGGCTGACCTCCAGCCTTCCTTGGTGAGGTCACCCAACCCCTCCATAGAGCCAATTCTTTCTTTTTCTTCTTTTTTTTTTTAAAGATCTGCCTCAACTTCCATTAATACATTTTGTTTTTTCTAGAAGCCACAATATACCAGAAAAGCAAGTTTCCCCATGTAGTGAACTCAAAGCTTTCCTGGAGAAGGATGACTTATTCCTGTTTGCCCATTGCCCTCAAGGGAGGGGAGAAAGCCAAGCCCCACTGGAGATGCAACAGGAGCAGCTGGGAGCACTGCCCACTGTGGCCGCCCTTCCACAGCTCCAAGACCTGCTTGGGCTTTGCCCAGGAAGCAGTTGCTCCTGGGAATTACACCACAGACAGTGTAACCTCACTGAGGAAAAACAAACAAGCAAACAAATAATGGAAGTAATTGGCTTCACAGGCTGCCATTGGTAAAAACAGCAGTGGCAAGGCACCAATGCAAAGAGCCCCCCACAGGCACAGCTGGAGGGGATTTAGCTCTAGGCAGGTCTGAGCTGCACACCCAAAGCACCAAAACACAGCCTGCCCTCGTGCATCAAGGAGAAAGGAGCACACCCAACCGTTTCCAGCATCACCCCAGCCTTCCCCCAGGGAACAATGCTTCCAGCATCCCCCTGAGCTCAGTCAGGCTTTCTCCTACCCTTCCTCTGCCTAAACCCAGTATCAGCTGTGCTTGTAGGGAATTGTTATTACATTTATCTGTGCTTGAAGTTTCCCTAGTTTTGCTTAATTCAGGCTATAAAACAGGTGTCCACAAGTTTCTCTGACCTTGCAGCAAGGCTCTGGATGCTCATCCCCTCTACCCAAGCACTTCATGAAGCCACAGATCCAGAAAAAGACTAAAAGCAGCACCCCAATCCTGCCAGCAAGCTGACCCTCCCATCTCCCTGCAAAAAGCAGACATCAATGCACAACCCAAGGGAGAAAAGCAGCAGCGAGCTTACCCTGCCCCAGCACTGAGAGCTAACCATGGAGTCAGCCGGCACAGATTTCCTCCCACTGCTGCCCTGCTGGGATATAAGGCCTGGCTTTGCCCCCCCCCAAGCCAGTCACCGCCCTGCCCAGAGTGACGCCAGCCCTCCAGCATGCACCAAAACCCCTCCAAAACTTCAACGCTGGCAGATTTGGTGCACAAACATAGCACCCCACGCCGCTGCCAAACCCAGAGAGGCTTGCACTGCGCCACTTAATTGAGGGTCTGGCCTCAGATGTGCGGCTGGGAGGCCGAGGGTATAATAACACTCTGGGTTTTAATTAAAATAAATATTGGGAAATATGTTGCTGGGGGGTGTCCACCTCCCTTTTTGAGAAATCCTGTCACTGTTTTTTCAAGTAGACAAAAAGACCAACCTCAAAAGCCCAGCCCCACAGCCACTTGTGCAGAGCTGTTAGACCAAAAAAAAGCTAAATAAAAAAAAAAAATCCCTCTCCAGGATGCCTGCAGAGGCCTTGGTAAGGGAAGGGAAAGAAAAGGGGACTCAGATACAGGTGTCACTCAGTGCCCCTTTGAGAGCCATTTCCACCACAGTGTGGCTACAAAATGCAGGTCTGCTTTGTTTCTAATGCCCTGCAAACTACGCAGACCCACACAGGGGCCAGCCAAGTCCCCTGCTCTCAAAAATCAGGCATTGCTCAGCTGAAATCTGTGTATGTCCCCAGCAAAGCAGAATAACTTCCTGGGAGTGGGGGGGAAATGAAAAAACCCCACCCACACGTGCCCTCAAATCACACTGTGGATCTTGGTGACAGGATACAGCAAGTGGATGCCACCCCCCACACCCACCTCTACAGGGATGTCTTCTCTCCTTTACCTATATTTATCATTTCCTGCTTGGATTTTATCCACCCAGCTCTCCAGTGCACCTCTGCTCCCTCTTTCCCAGATTTTTCTTGTACTCCTCAGCAAAGGCCCCTAAGCTCCTGCACATCTGGGCTGCAGCAGTTCAGGGATTGACTATTCACCAAGTGCAACTTTGCTTTCCACAGTGGCAAGGAGAGCTGCAACTCCCACTTGATGCTTTCAGACTGACAGCACCAGGAGAAGGAAGAGAGGTGCTGAAAAATAAATGCCTTCAGGCAGATCTGTAATGGTCAGCTTAGCCAGTGGTAAAACTATGGTTATTTAGGACAGAAAAATCCACTTTGCCATGAAATGCCTGAGTGTTTCTTCTCAAAACTAGGGGCAAAGCCAGCCTCAGCTACACGCAGGGGAGCCCATCATTGACAGGTTCATGGTGGGGAGTTGATAATTGCTGATGGAGCACTACACACATAAGTTGTTTCTGAGGAGGGAGAGGTCCCCCACAGCCCCCCAATGGTCCAACACCCCTGGCAGCAGACCATGCCACATGCCCACCATGCAACCCCCTGGGGCTGCAGGGCACAGCTGCCCCATGGGCTTCAAAGCCCCTTTTGTGACTGTGAAGAGTCCTAATTATAAGGCAGGCCTGTAGCTGGCTGTGGCTTTCAGCTGACGCCTTGTGCCAGGAAAAGCCACGCAAAAAAACCAACCCAAGAAGAACCTCAAACAAAACAAAATAAAACAACAAAACTAAACAAAACAAAACAAAAACCCATGAAAACACCTCAGCCATGTAGTTCTTCGGTGCCAATGCAGCAGCCTCTGACAAAAATAGAGATCAGCATTTGTGAGGATGAGGATTCCCATGTCCCCCCCAGCTCCATGGGGCTGCAGCAGCTGGAGGGGCTGCCCTGCTAGGCATTCAGGGCAGAGATAGATAGCCCTGCCTTCCATTGTCCCCTGCTGTCCTAAGCTGCCTGGCCTTGAGCTTAAAGGAAAGCAGTGAGCAAAGTGCCTGGCTTTGAGCTTAAAATTTCAGCAGGGCTTGGGAACAGGGAGTCCTGGTGGGAGGTGATTTTTAATGTAATTAAAGGGCTTCTACTCCAGGCTGCTTAAAAAAAATATGGAAAACTGACTATAAAAACACACGTTTCACCCAAGATCCCTAAAAAACACCAGGATAATTAACGTGTGCTGAAGTGCCTTGTGCAGCCAGCACCTATGTTTAGCTCCTGGAGCGAGTGCTGCCCAGGCAGGCTACCAGCAGCAGCAACCTCAATGGCACCATGGAGGAAAACCAGCCAGGAACTCAGCCAGCACATCCTAATGTTTCCATTTGAAATTTATTTTCTATTACTACTTTAAAATCACCACATGGCAGGTGTGGAGCATTGGTCTCAATGCTTTTGCAAGAACTCCGTCCCGCCAAGATGGCAGGGCTCGGAGTGATCACCCTTTTGTCTGAGAGGAATCTGTTATTAAAAGTGAATACAGGCTTTGAAAGCTTTATGAAATGATATCATCTTGCTGGAAACAAAACATAGAACAGCTTATCTGCCTCCAAAGGATGGGGTTTTAACCAAAGTGGTCCAGTGGAAGGCGGGATTTGCACCAGCCGCTGGCTGCAGCTTTGTGCTGCAGCTTGCACCCAGCAAGGGCACCCTGTACAGTTTGGGTGTACTTACTTGCCTGAGCCCCTGAGGATCTCAGGGTCAGAGTGTCCCTGTCTGGCTCAGGCTGACATGGCTCCTAAGTCCAAATTTAGTTATTATTTTTGCAGAGCGGTAAATGAGCAGAGCAGAGTGCTCCTGCCCTGCCCGGCACTGCAGGGCTGAGGCCACACCGTCCTATTTCCATGCCCTGAAGCTATTCTGAAAGGAAACCTCAGAGACAAAAATAAGTAAAGAAAACAAAACCAGAAGGACACTTTGAGCATGGTGGGAAGAGACAAAGGTGCTGCTGCTGCCAGGGTAAGGGGCACCCCTGTGTTGCCCTGATTTTTTAATATTTTCTAAGCCTTCTGATTTTTACATTCTTGTAGCAAACTTGCTCACACACTTTCTGTAAATAACTTATTGTTTTGCATTCTTTTATGGAAGAAGAGAAATTTGATAGACTGTTAGTTTGTCCAGTGTCATTGGGGGGGGGGGGGGGGGGGTGGCACTTTCACCCTCCAATCCACTGTCACTTTTAGAAACTGATAAATGCTAAAGTCAGAAAATAAACTTCCCTTTTGTTCACCTTGAGAGCAGCGGTGTGTGCGTTCATGTTGTTTCGTGTCCTACAGTGACACGCCTGCCCTGCAGCTCAGCGGCCAGGGCACCCCCAAAACCTGTATAGGAGGCACCTGAGAGCTTGCCCTGGCTTCCAGCTCTCCTCACATACTGTCAGGGACAGGAGTGTGTGTACCATGGTCACCAGCTGGGGAGAGAAGTGATGAGAAAGAAGAGGGAGCAACAGAATAAGAATAAAGAATGCCTCTCTTTCTCCTTACCTCTCAGAGCACAAACACAAATGCAAACCAGCATCAACTGCACACATAACTCATTATTCTTTTGCCAACAGCCAATTTTAGAATAAAAGCGTGAGGGAAGAATATCTAAAATGCGCCTTGTATCAGTCTCCATTATCAGTACGCAAACTTTATATATTGGCCTTCTGCAACTGAACATTTCACATGATTTTCCTTTTTCTCTGAGCAGAAAGCAGAAAAAGGAAATTAATTCTATTTTGTGGCAAAATGCAGGCCAGGAGTAGCTCTGTAATGTGAGCACTTTGAAGCACCCTGAGCTCTGGGAACCAACCCCAGCAAATCACTGAGGCTAGGTTGCAGCATTATCGCAAATCCCAGACTTGCCACCACCCAGGCCCTCACGTGTTTGAGCATTATCTGTGTATTGGATCTCCTCTCTTTGTTTGTTTTTCTTTTTTTCAGGAACAACAAACTCCTCATCAGCCAGAGCAAGTTACCAGGTCTGGTTCCCCCAGCTGTCTCTGCCTCCATCCATGTGAGAGCTCTCAAACACATTCTCAGGAGAAAAAGCCAAATAACCC